AAGATTTAAAAAATAATAATAATAAGGAGTAAAATGACTGATGAAATTACATTGATAACATCTCAAATTGGATCACACAAAACAGTAACACTTTGCGTAAATGAAGGTCCATTTTTGCCTTATATTTAGTCTGTTCAACCCCACTAAATTATTTTCTGCCTCGTTCTATATATTCTTTTAAAATATAATAAGATATAAGATGGCAAAATGCCATCAAAAATACACATCTCTACTTTTATCTCACATTATATCAAATTATTAAGAACCGGACTTAAATTGTCTTTTCTCAGCTTTGATAGAATTCAAAATGATATGCTCGTTCTTGAAAGGGAATGGCCTACTTTCTACTCGGCAGTTTCTTTTCTATAGACACAACGTTGCAAAAATATCTTTACTCTAACGCTATTGCCACGATAGATGTTCAGATTAACCCCAGATTCAGTTCCACCATTTCAGACCTTCACTGCTAGGAATCGCCATGCTTGTAAGATAGAAGGGGTTACTGTGTGTGGAAGAATTAGAAAACAAAAACTTTAATAAGGAACAAGAAGAAAAAAAGAGCAATCAGGAGGACATTAGCGTTTAACATTGCATTCAAATTTTTGAAGATTAAAGTTGACTTGAAAGAATGGACCTGGAAGGGAGTCCTAAAAACGAGAAGTGGCAGAAAAGAAACTGTTAGCATAGACTTTACCGTTACATCTAGAAATTTCAGCTATATATTGATGAGACCTTATCTCCAATCTAGTACTGCGATTAAATTAAAAAAATATATATAGAGAACATAGCGAAGAGCGATATTTATTCTGTTATGGACAGAATGTGGCAGAAAGCCAAAATGGAGAATCGGGAAAAGCACAGCCTTCTTCTATCTTAACGTTAAACGCCACGAACAATGACCCAAGCATACAACAATAATCCTTACACCACAACAACGCATTCTTACTTACCATTCTTACTACATCCACCATAATACCTCATTGTCGCTATGAAAATCCTCACTAGATTCCAAATGTGAAATTCATTGTCTGTAGGGGGGGAATAAAACAACAAAGCGAAGAGCTCACCCAAAACATTACGATGAAGTATTTATAGAAAAGGCACAGGGAGGCAAAGTGACGCTAGATCAGGACCAGTAATATTGCTGATTCTTCTCTGGATTCTATCAAGGCGATCTAGATAAATAGCAGAAGCACCAGACCATATGTAGCAGCAATAGTCTAAGCATGGACGAATGGTAAACCAATAGATTTGTTAGATAGATTCTGGAACGAAAGATTGATTGTCATGACACAGTGAATCTCTATATTTCAATTTCAAGTAGGTAGTAGCTTTTTTCCAAGTACTGCTGCTTTGGGGAAGAGACGCATGCCTGAATGCTTCCTTAAACTTCACAAAATTAAATTCTTCAAGTCAAGGATCAATCGTTACTTATTCTCCTCGTCCTCTTAAGTTCAACTTTCTCCTAAAAACTCTTAAACCAAAATCAGCAAGACCCTTTCTTCAGTGGTTCTTGAGCCAAATAAAAAGAAAGAAAAACAATTCTCTTAAGTTTTCGTACATTTTAACGTTGCTGTAAATGAATGATCGCAATACAAGTTTTTTTTCATCTTTTTACAGTTTTAAACGGTAATATGTTATTGTCTTTTGACGATTCAATAACATTGTGACGGAACCAAAAATATTTGATATGTCTCAGAAGCACATAAAATAGATTTGAAAGTTTCAAAATGGCGCTGAAAATTTTGAATGGTTAGAAAGTTGCCATAGATGAATCATCCTGTTGAATTAAATGATAATGTATTTCGTCCGCACACAATAGAAAAAGTGTTTCGTTTTTTGTTTTTTTTTTATTTTGCAAACTGACTTCAATGCATTCAACGGTCCGCCGTGATTTATCACGAACATATATATATATGAATCATTCAGTTAGTAAAGTTAATCATATAAAATCATCATTTATATCATTAACTTTAGTAATCTAATATTTGTTTCAATGATTCATTGTAATATAAATTGAACTGCACCACATATTTGATTTAAAAGAACTGATCCGACGTAGAAATTTTTGGGATAATAACTGAGACATTACCTTATTTATTGAACAACATATTTCATGGCACACAGACTGATAAACTCCTACAACAACAAAAAATATTCTCAAATTGCCATATTAGTAAAAAACGCACTCTCTTAAATGTTCAAAAAATTCAACCTTAGCCTTGCGACTGCGTGCTCCAAAAGTTTGTATCCGTTAACAATAACAGATTGTAAAAGAAAAATAACATATTTCGATTCACATTAGACTTTTTCGTCTCGGAATTTTACCGAAAACAAAATAATTTCAATGATTTAATATGAGTGAATGTACAGTTGAAAGTACTTGCGTATTAAAGAAAGACCTTATAGAGATTATGATTTTTAAAAACAAGGATCATAAAATTTATCGAATGATTTGTAGGTTAATGCACCTTTAAAATTTTTTTTGTTTAGTGATTTGATTTTTATCATTTTATACGAATTAACTTTACGAATCTATTTATATATATATATATATATATATATATATATATATATATATATGTATAAGGCACAGGGAAACTACTTTACGGCAATGGGAAGGTGATCTGGCATGCCAGGTCAGTACCGATAATATTGTAGATTCTTCTTTGAATTTCGACAAGAAAATCTAGATACATAGCAAATACTACAAAACTGATGTGGCATACTATTAAATACATGAATGTATCGTAATCATTAGAGTCCTCACTTTACACTCTTGATATAGTTCAAAAGCATCTCAGAATCCTTTTCAGAGAAGAATTATTCTTCACCCTCCAACCTTTCTAACACAGACGGGATGTGGTGAGTCTCTCACTGCTCTATCCCTACTACCATAGATTGTGCTCGGACCATCTACATGCATTGGTTTTTCTAGGGTTAACCTTTACGTCTAGGACCCGTCATGCCACTTATATAGTCATAGCAAACTACCCATATTCCCACTGAAATTCCATCGTCGCGAAGTAAGGCCTATTATGCCCTGTGGAATAGATTCCCAAGAGGATGTTTTCACGATCACTACAATCTTAACCTGTTCGAATCTAGTGTAAACCGTTATCTTCCCCTCCTATCTATATAAACTACAACTTAACGTAGCTCTCTACATCGAGTGAACCCCGGGTCTTGTATAGAGTGAACCTTACTGTAAAAATATATGCCATTTACATAGTCATAGTAGCAAGCCACCCACATTCCCCGCGAAATTCCATCGGCACGAAGTAAGATTTATTTTTCCCGCAGACAACTGCCCTGTGGAACAGACTCTCAAAAGAATGTTTTAACGATCACTACAATCTTAACCTGTTCGAGTCTAGTGTTAACCGTTATTTTCACCTCCTATCCATATAAACTACAACTTAACGTAGCTCTCTACATCGAGTGGACCCCGGGTCTTGTATAGAGTGAACCTTACTGTAAAAATATATCAAGTTGTAAAATAGATTATGGTGAGAAAAGCTGTTTCACAGTGAACCATCTTTTCTAGCAGAAGATTTAGCAGCTGATACGATATTATCTTTGCAGTTCATATCCGTGGAAATCTTTTCATCGGTTATACCAGTAATGGAAAAGTGTTCAGTGCTGTCAGATGATGAAACTCGCCATTTTAAGCTTGTCGACGGATACTTTGCCAAAACATGTCGTTTTACCATATCATCTCAATTCGATTTGTGAAATAAACTGATCCATTAGACTCGCCGCCTCTCAAAACCTGCAAAATGAAAAGAAAAACAAAAAGGTGTGACAAAAAACAGAGAAATACCACGTTTTACACTTTTATTTTTCCACTTTATTTTAGCTGAAGCAGCAAAACTTCAACGTTGTTATTTTGCAAACAACAAGAGCATAAAATGAGTGAGAAAACATATCCGGATGGGGTTTCATTCATTTCCACGTTTTTAAAACAGAAACAATCTAGAACAGAAAATGTTTACGAGTAAACGTAGTTATAAAACTGTCGGGTCCATTAAAAAAAATCAGAATGGCGTTGTTCTTCTTATTTGTCTTTATCCTTAGAAGAGAGATACATTATTTGTCAATTAAAAAACAAAGAGTCGTACAGGCAAAAGATAGAGAGAACATTAAGAGAGAAAGGATTCGGGAAAAAAATGTCAGAATAAAAAGAGAGTTTTGAAAGAATAAAGCTGATTGAATGCTGAATAAAGACTGACAGGAATAAGTAACCGTTTCAATAGGGAAGATATAATGTATTATATACAGAAAGTGTTTAGCAAGAAAGATGTCTACATAAGAAAGCTTACAAGAGGAAACTATTTTTTGCTGTCTCATCGTATTTCCTCTTTTTCTCCTATTTTTTTTTCCTGCTTCTTATTCTTATTTTTATGCTTGTGTTTCTCTTATTTACTCTGTTCCTTTTTTTCAATTGGCCAGTATTTAATGTAGCGACAGTTTATTGTAAAATGGAAGATATAAAACTCTCGGTATCATTTGAAGAACAAATTGGGACTTTGATGTGAGCCGTTGTCAGCAAATTTCTGGCGCCTCTATGTTTTGTTTCATTCGTTTGTTTCGTTTTTTGCATGTTTAGGGTTCCACCTTCGGATAAAAAATAACTCAAGCTATGAAAACATTGATTTTTGACGGGGATTGTTGCTTATCGTTGTAGCGTTTGTTCGTTTTAGATCTTTTTTTTATTATTATTTTTGGTTTCTTTGTAATTTCCGACCAATGCAATTTTAGGAACCCAGTTTTTATAAATATGTTTACTTTTCTTTTCGTTTTCTCTTTCGTTACATTTTCTTCAAGAGTTTAATGGTGTCGTAGTCAAGTAGTTCTTTCGCTTTTCGAAATTTTTGGCTAATTTTCTTTATATGTGATCTTTTTTGATAAAAAAATGTAAAGCAAATTTGGGGAAACTATTAAAGAAATGAAAGAATATCTGATAATTGCAGGATGAAATTTAGAAAAAAGATTGAAACAAAGAGAAAAAGTAAAGAAAGAAAGAAAGAAAGACGTGGAAAGAAAGACGTGGAAAGAAAGACCTGGAAATAAAGAAAGACAGGGAAAAAAGAAAGACGAGGAAAGAAATAAAGAAAAACGTGGAAAGAAAGAATGGCGTGGCAAGAAAGAAAGAACGAAAGAAAGAAAGAAAGAAAGAAGACGTGGAAATAAATAAATAAATAAAGAAAGAAAGAAAGAAAGACGTAGAAAGAAAGAAATAAAGAAAGACGTAGAAAGAAAGAAATAAAACGTGGAAAGAAAGAAAGAAAAACTTGGAAAGAAAGAAAAAAGAAAGACATGGAAAGAATAATAAAGTAAAGAAAAAGTAGCCACAATACGGAAAAAATAGATCAAACGAACGAAAGAAAAGTATAAACAGCTACATGGAAGGAATAAGAGACAAAATATTAAAAAAAGATGTACATATGCAATCACAAATTGAATGTAACGAAAGAAAAATGTTTAAAAAAAAGAAAACGTAAAAGAAATCAATGAAAAAAGAAAAGAAACGGAAAGAGATAAAATATAAGGATTCAATGATAAATTCAATGATAAAGAAATAGAAGAAAAATAAAATATCAGTTAGAATAAAAAAAATTAATGCTAAAGAAGAACGAACATAGAAAAAGAAAGAGAAAAGAAAAAAATAATCAATGTTTCATTTGGTAAGAAGTCTTGGTGTTTCTCTCCTGCCATTCCTTCATTCAAGATTGTCAAGCTTTGTTTTCTCTAAATCGTCACTTATTGAATTTATTTACTAATTTTTGAAACTTCTACTTTTGTTTATTCTTTTAGTTAATTTTCCATTCATTTTAGACATAGCCCTCTCATCTATTTGATTTTATCTACATTTGAATTTAGTTCTGTTTATGTTTCTCTTACAGTTTTTGTTCACGTAAATATTCATTCGCTATTTTTTTAAACTCATATTCCTTTTTTCCATATATTCAAACTCTTATAATTCTTCTCCTGAACACACGGATAGTTGATTTCGGCTTTTTTTGTTGTTATCTTTAACTTTGTCACTTTTACTTTTTATTTTTGGTTTGTTTTCTTTTACGGTATATCAACCTCAATATTTAATGCCGACAAGATTTTTATGGCTGGTAACATTTTTGTTGGCAATAATGTATTGCCAACATTATTGTTGGTAATAATGTATTGCTGCTAATAATTTTTTCTTTCAAAAATTCATTACTGGTAATATTTCTTTAATTTTTACACTTTTATAGGGATTTGACCCCAGTTTGGAGGTTAACATTTGCCCAAATCTAGGACCCTAACAGGTCCTACAACCCAGGGTTATGGTGCACCTTGTAACACTAGCAATGAAGAGGTGATTCCATACTCCTCAAAATCTCCTGATCAGAGGACTTGCTGTTGGATGTAGTTTATCGTCATACTGTGGACGGTTTTTCTTGTTATTTTGATTGATGGTATTTTTTCGCCTTTGTTTTATTTTATTTCTTTTCTGTTTGTCGTCTTTCCATTCTTTTTTTATATTTTTTCTTTCTTTCTTTCTTTCTTTCTTTCTTTCTTTCTTTTGTCATCGTTACTTCCTTCTCTTTCTTTTTGAATCATGATATTCCTCTTTTCATTCTTTAGATTTTTTTTAGTTTCGCCTTCATTGTACCTTTATTTTTTTACATTCATTTTTATCTGTCAAACATTCTTTTCACAATTATTTCTTTCTTGTTTCTCTAATTATCAGTCTTTTTTATTTCTTTTTCCTTCTTTTATAAATATTTCTTTTTCGTCCTTTCTTCTTTTTTAATTTCTCGATAAATTCTTTATTTCTGAAGGTTAAAATGAATATCATATAAATTTAGAATTTACAATATTTGCTAAACATGTTTCGTTCACATATCTGACATTTTTTGTCATATTCTTTTTTTCTATATCCTTTTTTTTCATTTCATTTTTTTTTAGTTTTTTCTTCTTTTAACCAGTTTTTTTTCTTTTTATTTTTTTTTTCTTTTTCCGTTTGCTTTTTTAAACATTGGGACAGCAAAAAACATCACCAGTTTAAAGCCAGAGAGAAAGAGAGAGAGAGAGAGAGATTGCTTTTAGCAACATTCTATTCATTCTAGTAAAATGCGTTTTATTCATCTCTTTCACCCCAACAAAGACAAGTATATCAATATAAGTAAATCGAAAGTTTAATTTACATTCATAAAAAAATGATACGTAAAATAAATGCATGGTGGGTTGAGAAGCGTGGTTTGTGTAGAGGCATGCGGTTGACTGACTTTCCCGCCATATTTCAAAACTAAATTACAGCATGAATACATTTCACTCGTCGCCAGACTTTGTCCGTAATCATAAAACTATTTCATATAATGAGCCCTATTCGTCTTTGCCATAGACTCAATTGGGAAGGTTAAAGAACGGAAGGAGAACGGTAGACTAAGTTTGGAATTTCAATGGCTAATAGAAAATGGAATATAACGATTCCGGATGTTGGGGAGTGTGGGACAGATTCAAGATAGGGAGGAAAAGGAAGGTAATGAAAAGTGCTGTTAAGAAAGAATGATAGGCATATGGAAAGAAAAAAATATTTGAGAGAGAAGAAAGAAAATTAAAATCAACAGCGGCAAATCGAATGAAATTGATAAACGATTTATGTAAAAAGAAAACGAAAAAAAAAGGAAAGGAAAGAAAAGAAAGAAGTAATGAAAACATCGAACGAATATATGAATGAAAAACAAAAACAAAAGAAAACCTATTGCGGATGAAACTAACAAACGAAAAAAGAAAACGTTTCAATTTTTATAAAGGAAAAATAAAGAAATAAGAAAAAAAGGGTTAAAGGGAGTGAACAAAAAAGAGGGAATATGTAAAAACAAATTGAAGATGAGTGGAAAAAAAAGAAAGAAAAAAGAAAGAAAGAAAGAAAGAAAGAAAGAAAAAAGAAGAAAGAAAGAGAATGAAAGAAAGAGAATGAAAGAATAGAGTGGAAAGCCGATCTAAGAAAAACAAAACGAAAGAAAGATATCCATTGAAGAAAAAAAGAAGGAAATAAGTAGAAAGATGTAAATTAGAAAGAAATGGCAAAAAATAATGAAAGAAAGAACTAGAGACCAAATAACTATGAATAAAATAAAGAATGATTTTAAAAACATGACAAAAATAAAAAAAATGTATTAAAAATGAGGAAAACGTTTCGATATATAATGAAAAAAAAAATAGAAAAAAAGGCAAGAGAAAGAAAGAAATATATAGAAATAAAGATAAAGATATAGATAAATCGCAATAAAGAAAAAAAAGGTAAGTGAAACTGAAGACAAACCCTAAAAAAACAAATGTTGGAAAAATTTCGCTAGAAAAAAGTTTCAGGGGATTTTTTGTCTTCTTAAGTTTTCGGCATTCAGATTTTACTACCGATATTTTTTTTTAATTCATAAGACTGTTTTGAATAGATTAGATTCGATCAAAAGAGACGCTTATACGTTTTCTTTAAAAGAAAAATAAAGTGTTTCAGGTCACTTCATATCAATGCTCCAGTGAGCAGACATTGGAAGATGGCGGCGCGAGGGTTTAACTCATCCGATAGAGATATTAAATCGTGTATCCGGGCTGAAAGCTTAGGGCAGCGTTTATGCAAAACACAGAGTACGCGCATTGACGCACACATACACTTGAAATATAACACGCAGACACATTAAATCATACGCAAAAAAAAACATGCATCTAAACGAAAGCGAGAAAATACACACTGACACTAAATTTTCATAAACAAAAACTTACGTAAACATGAAAAGACATAAACGAACATACAGACACACATATGAACCAATAAACACAAAAATGAACACAACTTTTACATGCACATAAATACAGAGGTTTGAGAACACGAAAACGTGTTCAGTTATGAACGTATCCTTAGACTTAAGCCCTTGAGCATTGTCATAATAAAAGAAACTCAACTACATAGTTTATATATATATATATATATATATATATATATATATATATATATATATATATATATATATATATTTTTATAAACACGCTTATATCTATACGTACCTACGCAAAAGAATATGTCCTGAAATTAAATAATAAAGTTTATTTTCCCTACCGATTATAGCTTTAAGGCTTCCTTAATGAATCTAATATCAACATTAAGAATTTGATCCGAGAATATGAGAGGATTAAAATAAAAATAAATAGACATATATCCAGATTATTCAACCACATATGCTTGAATGAAGATATGCTGTCTAAATACACACGCGAACGCACACTGACACACACAAACACACACACACACACACACACACACACACACATATATATATATATATATATATATATATATATATATATATATATATGATTAAGAATTGTATTGAGCACTGTTTTTTTAAAATGAAAATAATTAATAAGAACACCGGAATAAATAATTTACTGTGTTTAATCATTATTTTAACACACACACACACACACACACACACACACACACACACACACACACACACACACACACACACACACACACACGTGTGTGTTCAAAGTAGACATTAAAGCCAGCATCCAGAGACAATTTGTGTCTGTTTTCAAGCTATACGCAATCGTCAGGCCATGTCGATTGCGCTTAATATGAAACAGACTGTAGTCTCTGGATGTTGACTTCAATGTCAACTTTATATTTACATACGCTCTATCCCTGATATTGAAGACGTTAAGCTATAAATATATCATACCTTAAAACATACATACATATATATATATATATATATATATATATATATATATATATATATATATATATATATATTGGAAAGTTTAAGTTAGTGCGTTTTTTACTAATGTGTCTATTTCAGAATTATTTTTGTTGTAGGATTTTAGAAGTCAATGTGGCATGAACTAAATAGTTCAATAAATAGAGTAATGTGTTCAGTTTTTATCCCGAGATTCAATAAGCTGAATAATGTTCAGTTATTATCCCTGATCCGACGTTCAAATAACGTAGAAAATAATTCAACAGCCACAAGGCTGCGTAAAATCTCTGCCATATCTAGAAAGTAAGGAGTGGGCATCTCAAGTTCAGATAGGGCAGCCATACACAATTCTTTTGTCAATTCTGACTGTTTTAAAGAAACAATATGAGTGGAGGAATCAAGTACTTCCTAGAATGGTACAAGGAAAATCTGCTATCTAAGAACTATCTTGCTTCAAAAAGCAGAATTAAACGTCAGTGGTTTTAAGTTCGACTAACGCCACAACCCGCTAAATATCATTGGAACTACATTTCAACTAATATGATATAGCATTAGCAGCATGGAAATAAGAGGTGAATTAATATATTTCTTAAGGTTATTTGCAAGAATGTAAACGTAATGATCTCAGCCAAAATTCGAACTCAGCTGACCAGATTTTCCTTCCGAACCGCTTCGCAGTTATAAAAACTCCACATCCATGATCTTAAACAAAAAATCTGGATCTTATATTAAGCGTTCAAATAATAGTACGAAGGTTAAATATTTCCAAAAGAGAAACTCTGATTGCAATTAGAATGAAAGCAGGTACCTACTCTGAATCCATCATGAAAATTCAGGATGTGGAAAATCATATACTTCCGCGAAAATATCAGCTATAATAAATTAAATATAGGAGAAAAATTGCGCATAGAATTGGCGTTGTCATAGATAGTTTCGTCCCTATACGCACATAGCTACGAAACCAAAAGTTCAAATTTAAATCTCGAATCATATTATAAATACCCTCGTTAGATCGAGGTTTTCATATGAATGTCATGTATGGCGACAATCCTGTTCATAAATATCTAAACTGTCAGCTGTATAAAACGGTTTCCTAAGATGAATGAAGAAAACGAAACCTGTAGGTTTTAGGAAAGATAATCCCGTTTTGAACATTGTGGGCTGGCGTTAATTCTACCAAACAATAGTAACCACGTCAATTAAGGAGTACCAAAAGCAGTAACAACTAAAATGGATATCCCATGTAACTCGAATAGGAAATATTAACATAACTGTGATGTTGCCATTCCACACCACTTCAAACAGAAGGTTAGAAAGGAAACTGCCGTTAATAATGGAAAGAGGGATAACAGCTACTGGGTTTGAGAAACGTGTTTTACTAAAAGTAGTGTTTTAAGGGAAAGATTTTGTAATTTTCAAACGATAAATTTCAAATTTATATATTTCAAACTGGCTGCTCCGCCAAAGAGGACAAGATGTTTCCTTGTAAGAACACGCCTTATATCAACATTATGAGAACAACTCCAGGTGGTGTAATGGTTAGCAAGCTAGTCTCGCTAGAACGACTGAGTAGTGATCCTCACTGAGTGCCCCATACTTTCGGCCTTGTGCCACATCTAAGCCACGCCTGGAAAATAACTATATCAACATTACGATTAACATTGCCATGTACTCCGTTCTGAGATTTTTTCAAAAATAAAACAAGATTTGAAACAAAAATTAAATTAAATTATGATTAACCAGAAATTAATTGATAATGATTTATCTAAAAAATTCATTGGATTAAATATTTAGTCTCTATTTTTATCGTTGCAACCAAGTATAACACTTCATTGTTTGCATTTTTTTATGAGAATTTTCTGTTTGCTAGCATGAAATGATACATTCTTTAGTCTTGCTTCTAGGTATATCTATCCGAATAAGTAAATTATTTTCCCATGGCAATGGTCAGCTCTTTACTTCTAAAAATCCACAGAAATTTATTATTTAGAATAACACGATACGATACGATCGAATCTGCAGATTTTAAATTAGAAAAGTCAAGATGTGTTGTTATTCTTTTAGTCATTGGCTAAGATCATCAGAGCGGTAGCTTCATTCGGCCTCGGTCTTCAAGCATGAGTGACTTAATTTGGGAGAAATGGGTCTCTCAGGTTATTGGGGAAATAGGAAAAAAGCCTTCAGCTGTAATGGAATCGAAAGCCAGACAACCACGAGCGATATGCTTAGGAAATCATCCCAGAAGAAAATGAATTAGATATTTCCATGTACCCAAGTAAGCCAGCTGTTTCAAGTAACTTTGGTACAGTGCCCTTCCATAGTATAAGGCCAGATGTTTTTTCCCGCATAAGGGTGGGGTAGGTCTTGATTGTTAAAGGTAGATGCATGCAGCAATAGCTGAATAGATTGATGAATAAGACAGACGGATATAGCAAAGGAATATACAAAAAGATAAGGACAATGATTCAACATCCAGACGCTATCGTCAGACCATGTGCTCTCACCCTGCTATTCAGCACTTTCACCAATAAACATACAATACATTAAAACTGTATTTTATCACATATATATATATATATATATATATATATATTATATATATATATATATATATATATATATATATATATATATATATATAGTCATCCAGAGACAGCCTGTTTCGTAGCTCTAAGAATGGCTAGACGTCTGATTGCTTCAAGCCGGGATGAAAACCCGAATGCTTTGACATTCGTCAGATCTCCTACCTATAGACCATCGTCGCATGGCAGGGAAGGAAGGGAATTTTAAGTTTTTTTTCTCTATAAAATATGCCAGCAGCTCATAGAACTCAATTCTATTTTATTTGAAGAGTAATGCTTATTAGTAGTAGGTATATATATATATATATATATATATATAGTTTATATTAATATGTGCATTCGCCATTATGCATATGTTATATGAGCCAAGGGACATTCTATATATACAGATGTATATATGAATGTGTATGATAAAAGATGTACATATTGCAGTAACTACATGAACCTTCGAGTAGTTTTATCGACGTTGGACATTCTATATATTCATTGATATATATATATATATATATATATATATATATATATATATATATATATATATCTGTGTGTGTCTGTGTAGATAGATAGCTAGATAGATAGATATTCTGATTTACACGCTTCTTCTGTCGTCTTTTATATGACATGGGATTTCAGTTCGTAGATGATCCTGCCCAGCCCAGCCCAATTTTCATGTTCCTTGTAGCTCTTAATAAGTATTGTCTTTTTGTTATTTCTTCTTGTTTCTATTTTGTTGTCCCTTTTTCCCTCAATCTGTCCTGTGAGTATCAGCTTTTCCAAGGCCTCTTTCCTCATTACATGCTCCAGAAATTTCAACTGATGTTAACTGATGCTAAGTATTAGTTTTCATTTTCATTGACATTTTCTCTAAATTTTTTTTTTGTTGCCCACATGTTCGGTCTATGGCATCCTCAACATATTTCTCCAGAAACACATTTCTGTTGTTTCAAGTTGCGTCTTCATCTATGAGGAGATTGTCCAGCATCC